GAGAGAGAGAGAGACGTAGAGTAAGAGAGAGGGGAGACAAACGCCTAGCCGTATATGTACACACAATCCTTTCTTTGGATGCATCACGAGGCGGTGTTTGTGTCTTCTTGACAATTAGGAGGTAAATATTGTGGATGCCGGGCCACGCAAACAAACACACGCTAGCTATCACCCCCTCTCGTTTATTATTCCTACCCTCGGATAACCACGGACTTCGGTTTCGGCCCCAGAAACCCCCCTCGCGCCCCGGGAGCCGATGTCAGGAGCCGTGATGACGTAGAGGCAGACATGGATCAACAATTAGTGCTCGCGCATACAAACGGAGTAGCCGTGAAAATAAGCGCCACGAGCGGCTAGAGGAAGACGTTAATTTTATTGTTACCGGTCTCCCCAGTGTATTTAATGCCAGCTGGAGACTGGTGGGAAGGTTTACTACACAAACTCCTGGTCTGCATGTCTCCTGGGGGGTGATGATTTCTTCCAACGCTCCAGACCATCGGGTCCGAGGTAGCACACTGGGTCCCGTTTAAACGCAAGCCCTTTCTCAAAAGTAAATCAGCCCTTACGTTCCTATACAAGAAATTGATATAGTTTGTTTGTTGTTGCTCTTGTTGTTGGCTTTACGAAAACCCTTTCATTTAACTCGGAATGGAGTTTCTTTCACGTAAACTGTGAAGAAAAACAATTGTTTAAAAAACCAAACCAAACGTCAATTTTACAGAAAGAAAAAGACCTATTACGTTATGTGTTTCCTACTTTTGTTCGTGACAGTAGCAAAGACGAACAACCAAAGAAACCTACTTACTGTTTGGTATGGGTTTTACATCCTCTGATAAGACCAGGTTGAATTTTGAACACAATAAGTCAGTCATCTGTGTAATAAAGGAGAGAAATATTTTACGCAATATCAAAATTTGTTAATTCAGTAAATAATAGTTGCTCAGAGTGAGTTCTGGAATCCGCACCAGCTTCGTGGCGGTGTTGAAAGAGGGGAGCTGTAATTGAAACAGAAGAAGCAAGAGCAGTGGGTTACCAAATAGATATGTTCACATCTCTCGCATTATTGCTACTAATATCGTCCTGGTCTATTCATGGCAAAAAAACATAATGTGTGAGTTATTGTTTTCTTTTTTTCGTTTTGACTCACATTGGAGAAAGAAAGCTCTCAGTAAAGTTTGGTGTAGTAACATTAAGGCACACATATTATGTTATAACTCAATGACGACATTTGGCATCTTGAAGAAAGGGATGCGAGACCAAAAACGAGAATAAAATAAAGGAGGACAAAGTCTAAAAATCCATAACTCTCAAGTGTATTGGTATGTGTGTATAGGAATTCTTTAGAGGGTATGTGCTATTAACAGACTTTCAGGTAACCGGTGCAACCGACCTCATGATACGTTTATTTGAGTGATGGTAAGGAAAGGGCAACGTTTCTAAATCGATGCTGAGTGTTTTGGTTCTGGGATGGGCTAGAGATGCTATCAAACAAATACTACTAGAACCGTTGCCTTCTCAGATATACATCAAGGTTGTACTGAATATCATGTGTACAGTCAACGTTGGTAAAGGCCAGACTTTCAGTTAAACATCATGGGCACCGCTGTCTCGGGAAAACATATCGGGAAAACAACGTATCCGTGACTCTGTTACTTGAATACCCCAGGTTAAATAAATTCTGGAGCTTCTGTTTCTATAACCTGTTTCTATAACGCTGTTCAATCAGTAGGCATTAAGTTGGACCGGCTGCTGTGGTGTTTAAAGATCCTTATTGAGGGCAGGTCAATCAGGGTCATTCGAGAAATTTCCGTGATCCTTTTATCTTTTCGTATTACCCCCGACTGCTTATGTATATCAGACTCTGGTTCGAATCCACATTGGGAGGATGTTTGTTTTGTTTTTGGTTGTTTGTGGTTTTGTTTT